GTCACTTGGAAACTGAACCTGCTAAGCTGCCTGTAGGGAAGGAGTGTGTTGCAGGTCCCCAGCTTAGGTGAGCTGTCACCCATGCTGGGGTGGGCTTTGGTGAGGTAGCTGTCTTTGAGTCATCTCTTCTCATGAGGGATAAGCAATGCCTCATCCATATTCCTGTAAGTAACCCCAATAAAACTCATAGGTTCGCCAGGTTGGACTTTGGTGTATCCTTACTTTGGTCTGTGATGGCCTCCCACTCTGGGGTGAATAACCATCTGTGTCATCTCCCCAGGAAAAGTCTTGTCATGCAACAAAGGGGAAGTCTGTGGTGAACACTGTTGGCCACACTCAGCTCAGAATGTAGAGCACACAGTAGGGACCTTACAGAGGAAAGGAAGATTTCCTCCTAGCCTAGAACAAACGTCTAAAGCAGTTCAGGATATTACATTTTTTAGAGTATCTCTCCTTCAGGTTCTCAGACAAACATTAATATTAGAGCTCAAACAATGCTTTCCCTTTGGGGACAAATTTATAGGTTTTTAAATCCTTTTTAAATAGCAGATTTTTAGCTCCTGGAAAAAAAAATACACTATTTTTCACACTTTGAAAGATTTCTCTTGTGAATTTTGATGGAACAAAAAGGCGATTTCTTAAAATAAAATAATACCTTTAATTACTATGGTAAAGCAAGTCTCAATATTTCTGAATCGGTAAGCTTCATCAGAAAGCTATGCTGTATCAAGCACTGTGCATAAGAGCATTATCAAAGCATTCAGAGATATTAAAGTGGTCACCAAAATGGTTGGAATGACACTCAGCAGTAACCAACAGCCTAAATCAGTATCTGGACATAATATATTCTCTTTGGCTTCAAATTTCCCCATCTTTCAGAAGAAATTACCTTCTCCCAGAAATAGACATCGCTCATTGATGAAAAAAAGCAAACCACTTCATGACCCAACACTAAGATTAATTTTCAAAATCTGGATATGGAAAAGGTAATTTACAGTTTCTCTTCTGAGTAGACTATTTTACAGCGCCCCACCCCTCACCAAGAAGGATGACCCTGGATATAGCACACATGAAAAATGACACAAGCAGAAGGAAATCCTGGCCGATTGTGCCACAGACAGTAGCTGCCCATAGGGGCTGAGCAAGCAAGGGTGAGATTCAATGCCCTCACGCCTAGATATAGGCCAGAGATTTATCCATCTGCCCTTCGGAAGTAGTTTCCACCAACAGTTAAGATCACTCTCCTCATGATTCTAGTTTGCTTTTCTATTGCTGTGATGAAAGAAAGAGAGAAAGAAAGAAAGAAAGAAAGAAAGAAAGAAAGAAAGAAAGAAAGAAAGAAAGAAAAAGAAAAGAAAAGAAAAAACTGACCAAAAAAATGGCTTGAGGGAGAGAGTTTATTTGGCTTACAACCTCATAGGGGAGTGTCACCTCCGGCACACAAACGGAAGCTTGAAACAGAAGCCACAGAGGACGGCCGCCTCATGGCCCACCTGCCCAGAATGGCACTGTCCCTCCGACATCAATCAGCAATCAAGAAAAGGATCCTCAGACATGTGCAGGGGCCAGTCTGATGGAGCCAGCCCCTTAACTAAGGGTCCCTCCTCCCACGTACGTCCAGATCTGTGCCAAACTGACAGAATCTAACCAGCACACCCAGGTGGTTGTGAAGTCTGATAGATGATCATTGGGTGAGCTGGTTCCCCCTCTAACCTGCCCAAAATGGAAGTCACCTAGACTCGAATTATGACTTTTTTTTATTATTATTCATTTGTCTGGTGAGTCAGTTTACCTTAGATGCAAGGACTCACTCAAATTTGTCCTTTCAGTGCTTTTTTTTTTTTTTTTTTTTTTTGCAATTATTAGTTAAGAATAAAGGCTGAGATGGAGGTAAAGATACAGTATTTCTAAGAGTGTGTTCTTTTTAAATTTTCAGCTATCTCACGTACGTGTTAAACTTAGCTGTGCAGGAACAAGAACTACCTGGGCCTCACTGACTCTCACTTCATTATTTACAGACATGAAAATAGAAGGGAAACAGTGTCACTGGGTGCACCTCCGCTGAGGGGAAAACTGCATGACTTGGCCGCTTCCTCCCTTTACAAATGTGTGCAGGGTTCAAGGTCTTGTTGAATGGATAGTCCACCACAGAAACGAAGGTGGTAACTCTTCACGTTTGACATATTGATACTTCCTCATAGTTGTTTGGTTTTTTTTTTTTTTTTTTTTTCATTTTTTAAATACTTTTTTTTTTTTGAGGTTTCCTTTTCTTTTTGTTTAATTGTTTAGGTAATAATACAAAGTACTGGGCTTCACTGAAGGTTTTCCGTATGCATGTGTCCTTATGCTTTGTTCTCAGCTGTCTCTTTCTCCACTGCTGCTACAGTGGAGACCCTGAAGCTGGTTCCCTCTCTACCTGGGTTCGTTCTCCACACTTGCTTTCTAATTATGTGTATTTCATTATCATATTTTTCCTGCCTCCCTCAGATACCTTCCTCTCCTCTCATGATATCCTCTCTAGACTCATGAGCTTCCAACACATATGTAGATAATATAAACACACACACACACACGCACACACACACACACAGAGGGGTCTGTCATACATGGTCTTTATGTTGAAGTACTTTCCTTCTATTCCTTATTTCTTCAAAGCTTTCATCCGTAAGAGGATGTTGAACCTCGTCTAAGGCCTTTCCTGAATCAGTTGAGATGATCATGTGATATCTCTCTTAAGTATATGCAGATGATAGATTATACTTAATGATTTGTGCGTGTTGGCTTAACAGAAATGAAGGCCCGTTGCCATGGCTCACAATGAACTGCAAAGGGTTTTTCATGGATAAGAGTCAGTACAAAAGGTTTCTTGCTAACACGTGGAAAGGAAGAGCTAAGAGAAAACATGTAAAGCAGTAGACTAAACGTTCTTAGGTGGATTTAGAGTTTATTGTCAAATCAGGAGTCCCCTTTGACCAGAGTGACTCTTGAGAGATCAACTACCCTTTACCTAAATTATAGCTGTAAATATCTGAAGCCGAGGACTTTTTATTCAATCACTTAAAATATATATATATATATATATAATTCTCCTTCTTTCATATAGATAGAACGACATGTGTCAAAGCAATTTCAGTACCAATCATTTTAGCCACTGACTGAGACCACAGAGGGGCTGACTGTACATAATAGCTCACATGGCCACTCATGTGAACACAACCTAAATTCTACTCGATAAAGTACACAGTTTTGGTAAAGCCAGTAAGTAAATATGGTGTGGGTCAGAGGCTTCACAAACATTCATTCCTGCTCTTATCACCAGCCCTTCCTGTTGGACTTTGGATTCTTGGATCTGGAGCTTCTGCTGTGTCCTAAGAGGAGGTATCCCTTTACCACCTGCCTTCCGAACCAAAGATCAGACACCTGTGCTTAGTCGAGCACATGCTTTCCAAAACACCTGGACTAAATCCGAATAATTCACATCTTTTTGTTTTGTGTTGTGGCCTTAACCAGAGCCACCAGAGAGATCATGGGTTTGTAACTGTCCTTTGGGGCCTGGTGGGCTCACAGGTGAGTACATAAGTAAAGACAATGACTCCTCCTCTCCCAGAATCTATTTGTAGCTGTTAGTTCGGCATGAAGGGTGTGGTTGCTTGAATGAGAATGGCCCCCTAGCTATATGCATTTGAATACTTGGTCCTAACTGGTGTAACTGTTTGGGAAGGATGAGGAGGTGTGGCATAGGAGAAAGAAATGTGTCACTAGGAGTTGGCTTTGAGGTTTCAAAAGATTAGCACCATTCCCAGTGCACTTTCTGCCTCCTACTTTGCATTTTGAGATGTGAGCACTCAGGTGGCCCTGCTGCCGTGCCTTCACCCTGCCATCATGGACTCTTAGCCCTCTGAAACCATATGCTCAATTAGACAATTACTTTTATAAGTTGCTTTGGTCATGGTGTTTTATCACAGCAATAGAAAAGTAACTAATACACAGAGCAGAAGCCCGTGAAACCCTCTCACATCCATGACTGACTGCTGACAGAGCCAGTCTTGAGCAGGCCCAGTGCAAGCAACCATAGCAGCTATGAGTTCATGATTTCAGTGTCTGTGCCCTGCCCAGAAGATGGCTTTTTACAGCCTTTCTTTCTGTCTTCTAACTCTTAACTGTGTAGGTGTTTTTAAGGAGAGAGGTGAAAGGTTTAAGCATTTTGCATCCTCACAAAATCTCTGAAATAGAGAGCTATACAAAACATCTGTTGTCCTTATGACAGTTCAGTTAATGAATATAAAATGTAAAGTAGGGCCTTCACTTTCTTCCTCATGCCCTTTCATTACTGTACCATTATCGGTTCTTCCAATTTGAGTGTTCTTCTGGCCACATCTTCAGTCTAGCTACCCTCCATAGACAGCTTCTTCTACAGAGGAGTTTCCTATAGAACCAAGTCCTCCGATCATGGCAGTTCTGAGTTCTACTGGCCTCATGAATTTACCCAGATCATTAGAAAGCTGGAAATTCTCTACTTTCTTCATTACATCAATCTCTCAATAAAACTGCAACCCTTCTAACATGCCTCCAACTGCTACCCATTCATTTGACTTCTTTATGTTGTTTCTCACTAAAGACAACATATGGCGATATTTCAGTGTAGATTGTACACAAGGAAAAACCTCTCGTGGTTAGCAAGTAGATATGGATGTGTCAGAAAGAGCATGGCATAATTCATATAACAAACACATCTGGCAATTCACACACAGGAATGTCTGACAATGTTCATGTTTCTTTTGGGCCATCTCTATCTGCAGTATCTCTGTGCCTAAATAAACAGGAAGAAAAAGGAGAAAGCTAATGAAGAAGACAGTTGTACAAAAGACATTCAAACCACTCTCTATAAGATACACAGCTACAAAAGGAAGTGGAGGGATGGGAGGGGATTCATAATCCACTTCTGTGCTTTAAACAAATCAGACCGTGTGGCTGGTCAAATTAATTTCACCGGTACTCACAGATCATATAAAACATGGACCTTAGAGTCATAATTCTTGAAGGGGTTCTTAAGTGATGGCTCCATATGACAGATGAATAACGTCAAGTCCCCTTTCATCCAGCACTCTATGTCCCAGTTTACACCTGCATTAAAAAATAAACTGCATTAAACCCAAAAGACACTCTGAACAACCCAGTGAAAGAGAGAGCTAAACTGAATTCAACAGTGTTCTGCTACAACTTCTGCTGCCCATTCTGAGAGGGGGAAAAGTGCCTTCTGTGGTCAGTTCAGTATCTCAGCCCCCTCCTCCACCCCTCCCCAACCTGTTTTAAATCAGAGAATTAGATTCAATTATTATTTCTCAACTTGGGCTTTAATCTCAAGCCATCTGAATGGGACAGGTCTCATTTTTATTTTCTTTTAGTTAATGTTTACTTTTCAAAAGAAACCAGCACATCAAACAAAACAACTTCCTGTAACCACTTGTAACTCCGGCTCCCTGGGATTGGGAGTCATCTTTTGGCTTCCACAGGTAACCAGACACATGTGCCATCATTCACACAGATATGTGTAAGTAAAAATGAAAGTAAATCTTTAAAAAAATGTATATGCCTAACGAAACAAAACCAACTGAAGACAACACTAACAAATTTCTTGAAATGAGAATTATTCCCAGCCAGGTATGGTGGCATATGCCTTTAACCCTGGCACTTGGGAGGCAGAAGTAGGTATATCTCTGTGAGTTCAAAACCAGCCTGGCTTATAAATTGAGTTCCAGAATAGCCAAGCATTAATACAGAGAAACCCTGTCTTGGGAGGCGGGGTGTATGTGTGTGTGACAAAAAAAAAAAAAAGAAAGAGAAGAGAAAAAAATAAAGGAAAAGTATTTTCAGTTACTAGGTACCGTGTATAAAGGAACGAGAAACTCATCTGAAAGAATAACAAATTGAAATCTTTGGTGGCCATTCCTAACCTAAAACATCAATTCCCTTAAAAGTTAACTAGTTATCATCTGTTTGTAAGATGAGATATGTAATACGCTAATTATCTCCTCTCCAAAAATAAAGAATGTGATGTTTTCTTATCATTTAAGATTCATTACTAAGGACTAGAGAGATGGCTCAGAAGTTAAGAGCGCTGGCTGCTCATTCTGTGTTCAACACCCAGCAACCACATGGTGGCTCACAACCATCTATAATGAGATCTGGTGCCCTCTTCTGGCATGCAGGTGTACACGCAGACAGAACATTGTGTACATAATAAATAAATAAATAAATAAATAAATAAATAAATAAATAAATAATAAGATTCACTACTAAGACTCTGCTCATTCTTAGGATATTTAATAATCAATGGATTGGCCAAGCCATTCTTTTACTAATTAAAAAAAAAGCTTCATTCAAGATGATATTAACATTTATGAACTGAATTTGAATTGTTTCTACGAAAATGTTTTTAAAATCTATTTTATAACATAATTAAATTTAAAAATTATTCTGTTTGTGATTATTTTTTATTATTTCTGTGTGTGTGTGTGTGTGTGTGTGTGTGTGTGTGTGTGTGTGTGTATGAGTTTAAGTGCACCAAAGGCAAGCAGGTACAGAGGCTGGAAGAGGGTATCAGATTGCCTGGATCTGGGCTTAGAGGTGGTTGTGAATCTCTGGACACGGTGCTGGGAACTGAACCTGAGTCCTCTGTGAGAGCAGCAAGTGCTCTTACCCACTGAGCCACCTCTCCAGCCCCTTCTTACTCTCAAATTGTTTTCAACAGGGAATGCATTTTCCCCCACATAATCAAAAGGGCTAAATCGAGTAGATGTGGGAACATCTGGCAACATCTGAAGATTCCTTTGGTTTGGTTTGATTGTTGAGAGAGGGTCTGGCTTGGTAGCCCAGGCTGGTCTGGAACTCACAATCCTGACTCCCCCCCCCCCCCCGCCCACACACACACACACATGCCGCTATGTCAAGCTGGAGATATTTCTTTTATTAGACTTAGGTATAAAGATATTTCTTTTTATTACTGGGTAGAGACCAGGGCTACCATTAAGCATTCTCCAGTATAGAGATCAACGTGAAAGGTCAAAGGTCACTAGTATCACCTGGAAATTTCCAGTACCACATGAGAGTCCTTGCTTATGAATGCCTATTCTTCCACATTTGGGGTCTTTTCATATAATTGAGTCTTCTTTGTCCTTTCAGAAAACTTAGAAATAGTTTTGTTGTCATAACTTTCAGATACAAAATTAACTAAGCTTGCTGCTCTCAGTATACACTATTCTTAAGACAACAATTAAACTTACTCAACATAACATGTATTGTGTCAAGGACATTCTTTGCCTGAACAATTCATTATTATTCACAAACATTTTAAAATTCAGGTACTTCAACAGTGGTATGCATAATTTGATATTTTATCTATTTAAAGTGTACATTTTTTTTTTCTGCCTCCAAGAAAATTTACAGGTAAAAGAGTTCCATTGATGACAGATTTATAGGCTATGAAATGATCAGCGTGAACTTACTAGTCACACAATGAATCCTAATTTTAATGCTAATATAAAATAACAACATGTTAATTACATAATAGGACATCTAAGTGAGATTAAAACATTTTGATGGATGCAGGGGCAGAACACAGCACTGGATACTTGGGACAAGAAAGTGCTTACCCAGCCGGCGAAAAACTGAAGCCTTCACCGCTGAAGCCAGCGTCTTCCCTTCACTGTTGTCAGTGAGCACGGAGCAGCGTTTCCTTTGTTCATTCCCAAAGCAACAATGGAAAACTGTCTTGGATAACTCAGAAACGTAGATACCAGTGGAATTAAATTTAGCTTCAACAACGGCTTCAGAGCCCTCACGCAGGGCGGAGGCGTTCTTGGCGATCGCAGCGGGTGAGGGAAGGGAGTTGTCGGTTGTGTTTGGTGGTGCACAGAACAACTTAAATCTCCAGGGAGAGGCCGGATGTACCAGGTTAAGTGCAGCTATCACATAAAGAAACACTGTTCGGACAGCAAAAAGACAAAGAGAACAAGTGATCATTCTGATGAAGATGTAACTAGAAAGCATTGGAGATTAACCTGTGAGGTCCCCAGAGGGACACCCTCCAGAGTGCTGACTCAGCACCCAGCGAACAGCTCTGAGTTTCCACCTTCCATTGTTGTAGACTTGAGAACTTGGCGTATTTACTCAAGTAATTCCATTTTCTGGCCCCTCTCCTTTGGAGATTCTTGCTTCAATTTTTCTCATTAATCTAACATGTTTATACTTTACTATGAGAAAATTTACATTATATCTAACTTTCAGAAAAAAATAAGAAATACTCTGGGTGTTCAGTTATATCAATAAGCACTAAAGCGATCTTAATATTCACTAGAAGCATTACGACAGTGTGCTAACACTTTTCAGTGAATGCTCTCGTGGACACTTCGTTCTTGACTCAAAGAGAGTTGCCAGGTCTCCTGAACTTTCACAGGAACCTTCAGATGTATGACGTCATCTGGGAAATGTCCCAGGCACTCCGAAGGAAATGACGTGAAACACCAGACTCCCTCCAGGAAACTCACACTGAAGGTAAACCATTCCCGGTTAAAAATACAACTGGGAGCACTCACAGCACTGTACCCCAAAAGCCTCAGAGTCTAAACTTAGCCTTAATCAAGTGCTTTTTCAAAACAAACAACTGACTCTCTACTTCTCTTCACTTCACAAATGAATTGAATATTCTGATGACGTTCTCTGTGTGTAGTCACCACGACAGCGAGAATTCCGAGAAGTGTGTGTGAATTTGTATGGCTCGAGAATTATGAAGGATTAAATGCGAGGAAATGTAAAGGGGCAGAAGTGAACGGTGTTCCTTGGCGTCTGCGTGGATAGGAAAAGGGCATAATTCAGACAAAGGCGTAATAGTCAGTTCAAAACAGAAGTGTAAAAACATGAAAAGACACAGGAAATTTACATGTGTATCCCTCAGAAGCTATCACAGCATGCCGGGAGTTAAGCAGAGCAGAGGGATGAACAGGTGTGGAGATCAAGCAGTCAGGGACACAGTTTTGTCTGATTCTATAGTAGTAGCGAAACATTATCATGAATTTGTCCAAGGCCACAAGATGGACAAAAGGGAACCCTGAAGTGAACGATAGGCTTTCGATGACAATAAACACCAAAATATAGGAAAAGACTTTGTTTGTTTGTTTGTTTGTTTGTTTGTGACAGGGTTTCCCTGGATAGCCTTTGCTGTCTTGGATCCACTTTGTAGACCAGGCTGACTTCAAACTCACAGCAATCCTCCTGCCTCTGCCTTCCAGAGTGCTGGGATTACAGGCATGTGCCACCATGCCCTGCTCAAAAATATATACATACATATATGTATATATATATATATTTTTTAAATACGCTTAGATAACATTAGTAATTTCAGCTACTAATGAGGCTGAGGCGGAAGGATCACTGAGGCCACAGGTTTTAAGGCCAGCCTGGGCAACACTGTAAAACTCTTGTCTCAGAAGAGGCAAAGGAATAAAAATGAGGGTAGGATCCCATTTATAATAACTACATTTTAAAAAAAAGTATCAATAAAGTGAAAGATGTCTACACTAACTATAAAACATGGGCTAAAGAAATTAAAGACAACACAAATGAGAAAATGCTCTATTTTCATACAATTGGAAAAGTAGCTTTTTTTTTAATTTTAAGTTCCCAAAGCAGTGCACAAATTCAATGCAATCTATATCAAAATGCCAATAACATTCTTAACAGAAACAGAAATAAACAGTACAAAAGTTCTTATAAAACCACAAAAGACCACCAGAAAGCGAAAAAACTAATGATCAAGACCAAAGCTGACTCCAAACATAGGACCAAGTGATCTAACTAAAACAGCACAGTGTGGACAGAGAAAGATGCCTGAGTCAATGGAGCATAGCCGAGAACCCAGGAATAAACCTGTGTTTTTTGATCCAACTAAGCTTCAAGAAAACTGCATGCCAAAAAATGCACCTGAGAATTAATGGAACTTTAGTAAATGGCATTGGGAAAAAAAATGGATCTCCATAAGCCACAATAGAAAGAAAAAGAGAAGAAGGAGAAAGGGAGGAAAGGAAGAAAAGAAAGGAAAGAAGAAACTATACCCCCATCTTTCATCATGTACAAAAATAACAACATGGTTTAGTAGCCTAAACAGCAGAACTGCAACTGTGACAAGGCTAAAGTAAAGCCAAGAAATACTGACACTAAGGTATGTGATATCTTGGGACATACTCCTAAGTCACAGGCAATTACATCAAAAATAGACAAAGAGAAGGTCAAACTCTACAGTCACCACTGCAAAGGAAATACTTAACAAGGTGACTATTCATATGTCAAACTTCAGAGCGGGATATAATATCTATAAACTGTATGTCTAACATGGGGCTAATATCCAAAATAAACAAGGGACTCCACACCCATACTCCACTAGTTGAACTTGGTTGGGGGGAAAAGGACATGAAGTTGGGAGGGAGATGTATTTATTCGGTGTATAAGGGGAGTTGGATACGACAAAGACACATTATACACATGTGTAAACTTACAGCATTAGAAATACTCTAAAAAAAGGACACAAAGAAATGTGTGTCTAAAAAAAGACGCACAAGGAGCTGGAGAGATACTTCAGCAGCTCAAAGCACTTGCTGCTCTTCCAGAAGACACAGGTCTAAGTCCAGATCCACACATGGTGGTTTACTAAGTTCTGAAACTCTAGTTCCAGAGACTCAGACACTCTCTTCTGGCCTCCACAGGCACCAGGTATGCATGTGATACAAAAATATTCACGCGGCAAACCACTAAGACAGTAAAACAAAAGAAAGTCTACAACGACAGGACAGTGGGTATGTGAGATAATCACCGGTTATATCAAAATCACTATGCCATCACCCCACTCCTGCTAGAAAGGCAATTCCGGAAAAGGCAAAAGTGACAAGCATTAGCCAAGGCGAGAATAAAAGAGAATCCATGCACACTGTTGGTAAGAGTGTACATCAGTACAGTCATTAGAAAACAGTACAGAGATCCCTCAGGGACTGAAAAATGAGATTCAGCAATCCTACTAAAAAAGAAACAAAACGGCCAGTGCTGATCAAAGCACTGTTCATCAGACAGAATCAACCTGTGTTAACAAAATGAATGAGGAAAAGAAGGTGGTATACACACAGCTTGCACTGTCCAGCTTTGCATTTCTATAATGAAATACCAGACACAGCCTGACTTTACAATGAAAGGGGCTTACTTTGGGAGAAAGAAAGTCCAGACAGCACAGTAACTGTTCAAGGAAGGCTACCTGATGCTGTGAACACCAGTGGCAGACGTGTGCTGTGGAGTCGGTCAAGTGAATATGCCTCAAGTCATGAGCAGAAGGCTGGAGAAAGCCATGCCTGTTCAGCGACAACTCTCTCCTGAGAACTCACGCAGTCACAAGCCCTCAGAGCGTGTGAAGACCACCTGCTGGGACCAAGCCCTTACAGGTTCCATGGCATTTCATATCATCATCTCAGACCTCTCATGGATCTTTGGGAGATAATCATCTCACATACACACCATAGCAACAATACCATTCAGCCATAAAAAGGAGGGGAGCTGACATTTTCCACATGAGGAGGGCATATGATAAGTAAAGCCAGGCACAGAAAGGCAAATGCCACACGATCTCACTGCCATGGGGAATCCTAAATGAAATGACCTTGTACATGTAGAGAGTAGAATGGGCATCACGGGACAGCAGAGGAAACTGTACATGAGTTAGTCAAATGATACATATTTTTACAGTTAGACATGAGGAAGGTCAAAGACTAAGACACAGTGTGCCAACCATAGATGACGACAATATATATGTTTTTGGAAAATGTTAGGGGAACAGATGTTAAATGCTCAAAGCATCAAAATGATAATGTGAAATAATGCACTCCTCAGCTCATTACAGCTCTCCATATTTTACAGACTCCAAAACATCTCCCATGTGACACATACACAGTGAGAACATACAAACACTTTACAATTACAAATGAATTTGAAAAAGTCTAGGCACCAAAATTTAAATAATAAACTAGGTTTCCCTGAGTTAAAAACAACAACAACAACAACAAACTCATGAGCAATGTATGGCTAGTTTCAAACAGAGAATGTTATGGTTCACTCCAACTACAGGACTACTGAAAAAAAAAATGTGAGCTGAGCATGGTGGCACATGCCTGTAAACCCAGCACTCGGGGAGGCAGAGGCAGGCAGATTGCTGTGAGTTGAGGCCAGCCTGGTCTACAAAGAGAGTTCAGGACAGCCAAGGCTACACAAAGAAACCCTGTCTCAAAACTAAAATCTGAAAAAGCTTCCTCTGGAGGAACAGGTATGTATTTATGTCTCTTGACAAGCTGTGGTACCCAGTGACCATTTCCAACATATGTGCCAATTCTTGATAATATACCCTCAGAGCGTCATGCTGCCATTACTACAAAAGTGTTCATCTGTGTTTATACATGTGAATGTAGGTGTGTGTGTGTATTTCAGACCTTTTCACTTGGATAACATTGGCACTTTTGGGTCTGTAGTTTTCCAAATGCAAATCCTAGAACCACTCCACTCTTGTAATTACATGCTGCAGTTGCTTATAAACATCGTCACATGTACACACATCATCATCATCATGTCAGTTCTGTTTCTCTATGGAGCCTTAACACACAGCTAAAAGTCTATTGTATTTTAGAAAGTTCTAAAATTTGTCTAAGACCAATAAAACCAACAAGATTGCTGAAATGTATGAACTAAAAATCTCATCAGAAATAGAGTCAGTTAACTCCCAACTCACACACACAAAAAAAAAAAAAAAAAAAAAAATCAAGTAAGTGAAATGGAAACGAAATGTTACACTTGTTTTATTTGATGGGGTTAAAAACGTATACTGCTCATGGCACCACAGAACAGCTCTTTATAGACATGGGTTGTGGCAACAGGACACTGAAGTTCCTGTTCAACATAAAGTTCCTCTAGAAATTAACCGACTGAAATATCTTTCCAAACAGACAAAGGTACATGCAACTTACCCCAGTGTACCAAGACCACACAGAATTTCTGGCAAATCATCTTACTTCAGAGAGATGCACCTGGAAAACAAGAAAACGAAAACAAAGCAATACACACAGAAAAGCTCACGTCACTGGCAGTCTATGGAAAATATAAAAGAAAAAAAGATTAGAAGTAAATCCTCAAACTGCTACGCTCTAACATGTTGGGTTAATATTCAAGAACCACTTCACATTAAATTATATTGTTTTCTGTGATGCATCTGTTATCTTACAAAGTAAAAAGAATAATAAATAATTAGAGTGAAAAAGTCATTCTGTTTCTTTATGCCATACAGCACAGGGTAAGTATCACAGGAGAAGACTGAATTTTCTGCTAAGCAAGTGTTCATAGTTTTGATTAACTACATCACAGAAAATCTAATAACCATTAATGTTTTGTTGTGTTTTATTTTCACCCTTATTTTCTAAAGTTATTGTTATAATGCTATGGAGCCAAATAGTTATAGCACAAGTAATAAATTTAAATTAATTTTCAATGAAGAGGAAAAAGAATCTTCCAAAATGCCTTTGGAAATGTGTTGTTCATTTGCAGATAAGATAATATTGATATCAGAGAAAATCAGGAGTCAAGAATGCCTGATGGCTGAAAACAAACAATACTATGGGTAACTTCAAAGATGATGCTTCATAAATTTTACTCAATCTGAAGTGCAGAAATGCAGAAATGCTGCTGAGTTAGAAAAACAAAATTTTAATATGTTGGACTTAGATTTGTGTAAAACTCTACATATTCTCTCTGTCTCTCCGTGTGTGTGTGTGTGTGTGTGTGTGTGTGTGTGTGTGTGTGTGTGTAAACCAGAGATCCACATCAGTTGTCTTCCTCTATAACTCTATCATTTACTTTTTTGTGATAGGCTCTTTCTCATTCAACCTAAAACTCACTGTTTAAGCTAGAATAGGGTGGCCAGCAAGTCTCTGGGATCCTCCTGTCTCTACTTCCTATCCTGGGGTTTTAGATATGTGTTCTTCCATTGTGTAACAAATTCCTCTAAGATAAAACATTTCATCTTGGATGGGAGCTTGTCAAGAAATTGGATGTCCTAAGGAGGGTGAAAAAAATTTAATCCTACAAAGAATCTCTTTAAGCTCAGGAAGCAAACAACTCAAAAGCTTCGGGAAGTCCCTGGAACTGGTCAGATCCACTAAGCCCCTCTTCCTTCAAGTATGTGTAAGTCATAAGGACTGTTGAGAGACATTCTCAAACAAGCCTAGCTCCCTAGAAAAGGAAACCTGCCTGGAAGAGGCCGAGACCACATGAGCTGCCTGAAAGAGCTGCTCTCCAACCCACCAAGATGCCTACAAGTTGTGCAGTGTGCTCCAAGGTTCCAGTTTTCAGGAGTTGTGACCTGGGCTGGGGTGGGCTTTGGTAAGCTGTGTTTGAGTCATTTCTGCTCCTGTAAGTAACCCCTCTCACACACAAATAATCCCAATAAAACTCATCAGTTGGATAAACTGGACTTGGGTGGAATCCTTACTTTGGTCTGTTGTCAGTTCTCTACCGGGGGTGAGTAAACTTTTGTCGTCTCTCCAGGAGTAGTACCAACACCCACTTCACCACTGAGTCACCTCCCCAGCCCATTTCAGTCTTTCTTATGATCTCAGATAGAGTCCAGACTACTGTGTGGCATGTTTGGCGGAGAGAAGCCCTGAATCGGGTGTTAGAAGTCTCAGGCGCGAGTTTGGGCTCTTGTAACTAGCCTCAGGGACTCAGGGCTTCAACTCCACCTCCCTGTTGCTTATCTGCAAATATGACTATTGGATGATTTCTGCAACCCTTTCCAGAGATGTCTGCAATAGTGGGTTTTGTTTAGAAATAGAAATAACATTTTCACTGCGAATGCTGTTACAAAGTATCAAGAAGCACACTTCCTAACTCAAATGGTGTTTTTACTTTAAAAACACAGTGGTGTTTTTACTTCCCAAACTCTTAGGGACCCTAGACATAGATAAGCAGTTTGTAAATGTTTGTCCTAATATATTTGTTTTTCAAAGTGTGCTTTTCATCAGAACTTTGCAGCTTTATCCATTAATATTACAAGGATTCTCGAAATCTCTAGAAACTGGCTAATGCTTGGAGTCCTCGTGACCTAATTGTAAGAATGTATGCAAGGCATGCCTATTTTTGTATTACCTGTTCCTTATATTGGACTTCTCATCAAATAAATCCTAGAGGAAGATTCATAATCAGGATGTCTCATGAACACAATGCATTGCTGTACTGCTTTGATGAACTAAATGTAATTCGGTCCCCCAAATAGATTTGATTCGCATTTAAATAACTGATCTACTAAGTGACCAAAAGCATTAGTTGCTTCTCTTAGATAAGAAAGCCTCACCTCTGTTCACTGTCCCATGCAACACAGAAACTATTCTTACAGTGTGAATTCTTGCCACCCAGGTCCATCTGTGTATGCCAGAAAAACAATGACAGCTCTGAATGGGCATACAGACTGTGAAAGCAGGTTCTTACACAGACTCAATTAAAGAAATATTTATAGGTATCCAATCAAAAGAACTTAAGGAAGTTTACAAAAACAGAAACATTACGTAAAAATGACAGACTTTTTAAACTATGACTAAGAATAATAATCAAGAAAAATGGACCTAAAGGGAGTGTCAGATTGCCTATATATAATGTTTATACTCAGAGACTAGTTCTGCGACCAGACTTGATCAGAGAAGCTTCTTTTTGTGGTGGGCAGCAATCACTGCTGGTCAAGATCAACAGAACAAGTGCTCAGGCCCAAAATGGACCATCTATATGACCACCTTCCAAGGCTGAAGGAACATCTTGAAAGAGTGGATGAAAAGAATGTAGGGTCCAGTGGGAGGAGAACAGTGTTGTGGAACACTTTTTCAGTCATAACATGTTGTGGCATGCCTGAGCACTCCAGGGCTGTGATTACAATCTGCACAAGACTCGTCCCATCAACATTCTACAAAAAAAACGAATGGGCTCATGAGATCTTAAAGGCAGTTAATAGTTGCTAGCAGGAGACAGAGAGATTTTCTTCAGTGAGGTAGCCACTGGTAAGTTCATTCATGTAAATAACCCCTCACTCATGGTTCTGCAGGTAAACCCAATTAACCCATTTGGTGTTAGCAGTAAGAGGGCAGTGGTTGGTTCAAGAAAGGAGCTGGCATACAATTACTCTTCAGAAATGAAGTTTATTAGGGAGGAAGTTCTTGATGACCATGATTGGGCCTTGAGACAAGGAAACCTTAGAAAAGGAGCAATAAAATGTATAATAAACAGTATAACAGGGCCTTAAATGGAAGAGGAACCTTTCCTTTAGAAAGGATCTTCATCAGGAGAGATAGCTTATAATAAGAGTAGGAGAATGATCTGTCATGGACAGGATGATGAAGCACAGAGAACCTTAAGAAAAAGAAATCCCTAGAAAAAAAGAGATATCTGTTGTTTTATAGGTTTTAGGAGGTGAGAAGAAAATTTTAGACTGTATGGTTTAGGCTAGAACAGTCTGTGTGATGAGGCATGCAGGAGCCAGTTATTGGATAGGACCATAAGAAAAGGAATTGTAAAAAGCATAAACATTCACAGATTTTAATTCTCTGTCTCAGAAAGACTGCTATGAGGTACATGGCCTGATTTCTTCAAGCTGAGGGATCTGCCTTCTTAGAATTGACCAGAAACTTAATAGAAACAGGCCCAAGATTTAACTATTGGTTCATAAAACAAACAAACAAAAAGCAAAAGGGGAACTAGCTGGAAAAAGAAAGAATCCATGGAGGGGGCTAAGAGAGGAGGTAAGTGGATTAATTTGATCAAAATATACTATATACGTGTGGGAAAATCATAGTGAAATCTCTTTAAGAAATATGTAGTAATAAAGGACTTTTAAAAATCAAGCAAATAGAAAATGAATGGTAAGCTGACCAAAATAAGTCTAATACAGCAAATGCTATTCATTTGAATATGCTTTTTAATATAACAAGTCAGAAGTTCCCCACTTGCTGACAGCAAGTAAATTTATAGCACTTAACAAGGGTACAGATAATTCAACCACCAGAACTTTGGGTTGAAGAACATTAATACCATTAGTGAGAAATTTACCCTTAAGTCATATCCTTAAAGGCCTCAATGCTGTGTTTGTGTGTGCCCACATGCATACATGTGCAAGGGGAGAGCAGAAGGACATGTCAGATGTCTTCCTCAATTGATTTCCCACCTTTTGTTTTTGAGGCAGGGTCTCTCACTTGGACCTGGGGCTTACCAGCTAAGCCAGGTCAGCTGGGCAATAGTTCCCAGGGAACATCCTGCATCCACCTCCAGAGCACTGGGGTTGCAAGGGAGAAGAGCTGTACTCAGCTTTTACATAGCTGCTGTGAATCCAAAAGCAGGTCCTCATGCCTGCATGGAAAGCACTTTACCAAATGATCCACACCTACATCCAAGGCCCCTCCTTCTTTAGTGTCCGTAAATAAATTTGGGGGTGATACATTAACATCATCCCAGTAGACATTCAATGCCGGCGATTCTCAACCTGTGGCTTGTGATCCATTTGTGGGTCAAAAGACCCTTTCACAGGGTCGTTTAAGACCACTGGAAAACACAGACATTTACATTATAATCCGTAACAGTGGCAAAATCACAGTTATGAAGTAGCAACAATAATAAATTTATGTGTGGGGTCACCACAACATGAGGAAGTGTTTTAAAGGGCCACAGCATTAGGAAGGTTGAGGACCACTGTTCTACACTGACAGTGAAGAGAGCAATGTGCTGAGGAGGCATTTAAACAGAAGGTAGAATCGATGTCTCCATGAGAAAATAGACCACTCACATGGAAATGTGTCAGATAAAGCATTCTGCACCTCATCACCATCATTGACAATTAGAGTTCAGCTAGGAGAAAAAGGAAATAATTGAGAATAATTGTAAAACCCTCTCCCCTCCTCTCAAAAACATCAGGATGAGGGTGGTGCTTGGTGGATCAGAGCTGCCCAAGCAAGACTTGAGTTCAAATATCCACCACACAAATAAAAAGTCAGGCATA